AACAGATGTATTTATAAATTGGTTTAAACTTACACGGGGGAAATTTTCAAAACACTGGAAAAGGCTGGGTATTGTACGATTTAATACTTGTATTTATGATATCTCTTAAGGTTTAATGGTCGTATTTATAAAGGATGAAAAAATAGGACCATAGCAAAAACGTTGAAATATTTGACAATTCATACTGAGCTAAGTAAGTTAAAGGACGAATATAAATAGCATTTATTTTTAGTTTTCCAAAATCGCATATAGTCTCTCCTTATATATATTAAACGTCCTTATATATACTAATACATACTAAACGTTATATATCCTTATATATGCTGAACGAAAAATATTATACAAATGGGACGTTTCATAAATAACAATCAAGTTCATAAGGAAGAGCATAATTTTTCGATGCACCTCTTTTTGATATTAAATATAGGGAAATAATTATTTGCTGTAATAAAAAGAACAATTTATAAATATGGTTAACTTAATCTACAAAATCTATTAAAGTTAACGTAGTAAATTTCATTTTCACGAAATTTTATTTTTCAATATTATGAAATGCTTCATTATTTTAGTAAATTTAGCAATCACGTTAAAAAAAATTCTATAAAAAGTGACAAAATGGTCCCTTTTAACTCCCCACATAAGCTCCTCACTGTAACAGGAAAAAAGGTGAGAAATGTTTTCATCATAACAATCTATTTATTATCAAGAACAATTTGTTTGCCATGCATAAAATTTAAAAATTAATATTGTCAACTATTGCTCCGATATCAGTTCAAGGAATAACAATTAAAGTGTTTATTTTCAATTTTGCGAAATTGTGTTAAGACAATCATATTAAAAAAGTATTTGATATGGAAAAATATTAATTTCATATCATTACCCACTTCACTAGCGAATAAACTTGGTAAGATAGTTTTTCCTTGATGTATTTTTCTTTCTTATGACGCTACGTTGGAAAATAATATATTTGCATGATAAATCTGATGTTAAAAAAATCAGTTACATGCGAAACTTAAATTTATGTTCTTATTTTCAATTTCACAAATTCTAACCTGTTTTTAACTACTTATATATGTCGGCAAGTAACTAAGGGAAATCTTTTTCTCAGTGAGTCATTATTTAGCGATTTTTAAGCAAATAATTAAATCTTTGCTGTAGTATTTTGTTGATTCTTATAGGAATGATAACTGATAATTATTATACGACCGAAAATGATTATTCTACTAGTATCATAAAATTAGAAACAATACGTTAAAATGCAAAAATTAGTTCTAAATTTCACTGCATTTAAAACAAATTTTAAATTATGCAGTTCTGCCATAATTGTACTATGCAGAGAAAAAAATTCGTCAAAATTACCGTACTGTATGGTAATGACATTTCAGGTTTAAAAAAAAAACCCAACAACAACATAAGTCTGGTTAATAAAAGTAAAATATACGGTATTTAAACCATTTATTTGATAATTTTTCCGTTTATATGATCGCAGTTTACAGGGAATTCTGATTCTCAAATTCCTATTACTACACCACAGAATTAGTAAAAAATGCAAAGCTGAAAAATAAATTTAACCAAATCAATGATTTTTGTGCCATGCTCTAAGGTATCATGATAAAATTATCAAGTTTTACTACATTTTACGTCATTTATCAAGTTTTATCACGCATTATAAAACCATATTTTTTTGTTAATTTTATCAAAGTCATTACCAAAACGTTTCGACAAGAATTACCTCGCTTTTGGTGTTCCCGTCGAAACAAAAACACGATAAATTTTAGCATATACTGATACTTCTTTACCACATTCTGGGGTATTTACTTTTTCGCAGTGTAGAACTATCCTTTGTGTTTTATAATTACCTACTGTCATATGGTTAATTACTGCCTGTTGTCAAAAAATAAAATAAAAAAATGGTCGGGATTTTAATATTACGTTTCCATTTAGTAAGCATGGGTTGCATGAAAACATTTTTATCAAAAACATCGGAATATTTCAAGACAGAAATTGCTTGATACTTCTCTGGAATCTGAAAAACAAACTGTTTAATCAAAATAAACAGTCATAATTTAAACAAACTCTGCCGAATAAATATGTCTAAAAACAAAGCACGCGCTGAAATAAAGGGGAAAAGGATGTGTATTTAAACAACATCTCATTGAAAATCTCTTTGTGAGGACCAACAAAAGCATCAACAATTATACCCTCCGTTTAACAAAGGAATGTATCTTGCCTATTAAAGCTTAATCTTGCCTTTTCTCTCTGTTATTATCGAACCTGGTAACCGCTTCACTCACTGCTCACTGTATCCTTCCTCCAAAACAAGGAGTTCTTTTCAGTGGCAATGAATGCTAATTTCATGTCCTGAAGTATTAATGCGCACCGTTGCTTTAGAACTGGATGAGAAACTAATTGAATCTGCTCCCAGAATTTCTCAGAGAACGAAGAAGATTTTGTTGGGGAACTGCAGTTTCTACTTGATTGAAAATGTGAAGAGCCTTTTTCCACAAAATTTGTTTCCAGATGAATTTTACGAGACTAAAACTACTTATTTGGAAAAGAGGTTATAGTCTCCGAATTGGTTAAAATTTATAATCAAAGTGCCATCTGAATTCTTAAACTATGTTCAAATTTATGAATAATGTTCACTCGCATGTGTTCACTCCAGATTTCATTAAATCTAATAAAAAAGAAAGCTTTATCCTTTATTAACACAATATATAAAAAATTGACTTCCACTTTTAAATTTTAAAATTTACAGGGACAACAGGCAGTTTAAACTGCCTGCTATCCCCCCCCCCAAAAAAAAAATCATTTTTATATTTTTTAATTCAAAAAGATTTGTTTCATTTAAAAAGAATGTAAAGTTTTGTACAATTACTAGAAGAACGTCGTTTTTTCTTATTCTACACTGTAAAAAATTCCGTACCCAATTACGGAAAAAAGTATCTGCATTCAGGATGCTTGTTCTTTTTACCGTGAAATCCATGTTTATCGTAAAATTTTACGGAGCAAAATCTCTGATATACCGTAAAAATGACGGCATAAAATTTTACAATGAAAATGGATTTTACGGATGCTGCACTCAGGGTGCCGGTACTTTTTACAGTAATTTTATCTGGAATCTCTTACAGCGTGGTTCTTATTTAGCAATTTTAAGTTTGTTTTTCGAATATCAATTAAGATATTTCGAATATCAGTTTTTATTTCGTGTATCAATTAACAACGATAACCTGTCGAGTTAATATCAAAAAAAGAAGTTTTTTTTAGCTACTGACTATAATACTACATTAATTAGGCAAAAATAAATTGATTTATATACTTGCTATGATGAAAAATACATACTTATATACTTAAAAATGATATGATTTTCTAGTATAAACATCAAAAAATGAATTAATTTGAGTTTGCTTTTATTCAAGAAATTAAAATTGTTAATAATCTAACTAATACCCTAAAAGTAAACTGAAGTTTTATTAAAGACATCATTCGAATTTTTACTTTAAATTCAAAATAGAATGAAATTTAAAAAACGTAAATACGCAATAAATACCTTGTGTTATTTTAATAGTTTTCAAAAGCTAATGCAAAAAATACAAAAGTTAATGCAAAAATAAGTTGTTTTTTTTAAAAAAAAGAAGAAAAAAAACATAAATTTCAGGCAATGAAAAATATAAATTTAATTAAATTCGTTTTCATTAAAGAACTCAAATCTAATAATATTCTAATCAATGACTTGAAAGTTAATAAAAGCACATTATAGATATCACATAATATGTAGGTAAATAATGATAGTCAGAACTAAAAAGTTTTTTCAATAAAAAAAAAAAAAAAAAACGCTATTTTAAAAAGAGCTTTAGGTTCAAGATTAGCCAGACAAGAAAAGAAATCTACCTTAATAATTGAGTAATAAAAAATAAAAACGTAAAATTTTTTCCCGGTTGAAGTTTAAAGATGTCTTTACATGTAACAATTAACATAAGAATAATTTCCTTTTAATTAGTTAGAAAGAGCGATATAAAGAAAATTATAAGAAAAAAATCTTTCTGGTATCAAGCTCTATTTAAAGTTTACTTCACTTAACTTTTTTCTAGACTCTTTAACACTTTCATGGAAACGTGAAAAAGAAAAAAAGTTCTTAAACTTCTTAGCACAACTTTCGGCAGCCGAATAACTTTATTCTTTTTTAAAAAAAACCGAAACGCTTTTTAACTCCAGTCATCTCATCCCAACCACTCAGTATCGGATTTCGCCAACTCTTTTAAAAAAGAGCCACTGCAAATTCTGATCGATTTCATTTAATACATCAACCTGTCACAGATTCAACTCAAGGTTCAAGAATAAAAATGATGCCATCTTATATTCTCTCTCTCGTCGAAACCATCCACACGGATCCGTATGCCATGTAAAAAAGGGACAAGGTTTAAACCCAGGAAGTTGGTTCATTAACGTCGCATGCCTCGAAAACCATGGAATAAACAAGGGTATTATTTACAGCGGAATTATGTTTTTGCTGGCTTCCCTGCTCGTTCTAAACTTTTGCGAAAGGTGTATTTGCAGTTGAAGGCGCGTAAGTAAAACGTTTGGCCTCAGTCATTGGCGAGAGAAATGGTGTATCATGTACTAATTTCGATATGTGTGGTCCTTATAAGTTATGACTAGTCGTAAAGCATACATGTTAAATTTACCATTCAGTCTTAGTGTGGGAGAAGTTTTGAATCACTTAAACGCTTTTTTTTCCTAAGACAAAGGTTCTTATTTAATTTTTGCTTTAAAAAAAATAGATTTAATTACGACACAGCATGGGGGAAAAAATTCTGGAAAAAATTGGATATATTGGTGTTTGTTTTCCGTTTTTGTTTGTTATTGTTCTAAATCTTTTATTTATTCTTCTTTTAAGGTTTTAAAGATGAAAAAGTGCAAAACTATAAAAAGCGTCATTAAAGTAGAATACAAATCAGAAATATGTACTGTATTATTTAAATAAGAAATATGTACTCTACCTTCCTAGTATCTTGGAGACGCATCCGTGGGAGACCCTCAGCTGCCTGCTGATGTCGCAGGGCCGGACGCCTTGATGGGCCAACTCTACTATCCTCTGACGGACAACGTCCGGCAGGGGCCGCCCATTCACGAATACGCCGCCCAACTGGTTCACGCCACCATGGCCTGAAAAAAAATACAAAAATATGAATTTAACGAAATTGATATTCCTGTAAAATCAATTAACTTTAAGAAGAAAAAAAATACATAAAATAAACAGTTAATTTTAATGCTAAATATATAATTTCATACAAAATATTGTAATTTATCCCTATTTAATTAATTACTTTTACAGTAAATCTATTGCACTACATTCAGTATGTTCTCTAATGACTTCCCTTAATGTACATGCATTAAAATTCTCTTCAAGAATAAAGTAAATGACTCCAATATTATAGACATGTCTGTTTATTTAAATTTAAAAAAATAAATGCACAAAAAATTTGTCAAAATCTGAAAATTATAAGTTTGGACTAAAATCAAAGGTTGAATTTAGGATGTTTATCCATTTACTTATAGAATATAAAATCAGATCTCATGCTGATCTCAGATCTTGTGATCACAGAAACATGATCTCATTCTTTATAATAATTGAGACAGTATCTTTATAATAATTAAGACACAATGAGACAGTAAACGTTGTAGTAAAGTTTGACTTTTTAAATGGACATTAATTTTAAGATTCATTATTTGTTTATTTTTTAACTAAGCTATTTCATTTAATTAATTTTTCTTTAATTATTTTTAGAGAACTTCCTGTATCTGTTACCACGTAAAAAGTATTCTATAACTTTATTTTTTCCCGCATAAAAATTTTATTTGTAGCGTTATATGTTAACGAACAGTTTGGTATAAAAAGGATACCATCAGAAGAAATGTGGCTTAGAATATTTTACCCCAAATCCTTCATTTTCAGAATAAAAAAAGTGAATTCCATGTGAAATTGTTTATTTTATTTCTGAAATCAATTTTATCCAATGTATTTGATATTTAAAATTATTACATTATTTGTGTGATGATAGTATTTTCGAAATTCCAATTCAATTCAAAAAAGTTGCACAATGCCTTTCTAAAATCTGATATTATATAAATTTATCGTTAAAGCAAAGATATATTTCATTAAATCTAATACACAACACGCAAAGAAGTGTATAACTAAAGTTTATATAAATCACTAGTAAACCATTTATTTATAGATCCATAAAACACTACTGATTCTTTTTTAGTATATTTAGACATTAATTGTTGCGTAATATACTAGATATTTCTAATACGTAAAACCAGCATGTTATTTAAAACAAAAAAATGTGGAAAATTTCAATTCATTTTATTTATTTTTTAAAAGATAACAAAATCTATAATCGAAATCTGTAATTGATATATATGTATCTTTAAAGCAAAGATACATTTCACTCAATCTAATATACAGCGCGCGAAGAAATCGTCAAATATCGTTTCGATAAATCATTAAAAGCCATTAATTTATGAATCGATAAAACACTACAACTTTCAAGGTACGTGATGTAGTTGAAGATGACATCTTTGAGCTCGTCTGAAATCCTTAGGATCAACTAGACTGCGTGAAAGTCGTTTAAAATGTCGTTTTCCTGGCACCCTCCACCCTGCAGAAGGCTCTGACCCCGAAATTTACAACCGGTCATTTCCAGAAAATCGATTGGCTTTTCCTTGCTCGCTTTAGAACTGTGGTTGGCAGCAATTTGAAACCCAATCGAATCTTTTCACGAGTCTAGTATACAAGAGAGGATTTTTCTCATCAGTTTGGGTTTTGAACCATTTCTCCTCAATTCTTTTGAGCAACGTTAACTAAAAATGCCTGATTTATTTATTTATTTTAGCAAACTTGAATATAATGGAATCGAATATTGAGAAAAAAATGGTAACAATTTGAAATCTATTGAATCTTTTCGCGAAACTAGTCTTACTAGGGAAGGTTTTTCTGATCAGGTTTTTGTTGCAATCCCAATTCTTTAAAGCAGTGATTTCCAGACATTTTTAATGGTTAATTAATTAAGTCGGATTTATTTATTTATTTATTATTTTAATTGATGCAGCGAAATACAAGGAAATGAAAAAGGAAATTTAAAAAAAATGGCAGCAATTTGTAAACCAATTAAATCTTTTAACGAGTTTAATACAAATGAATTTTTTTCATTCGATTTTAGTTTCCAAACTACTTCTCATCAATTCCTTTAAACAGTGTTTTCCAATAATTTTATACTTAGCAACATTTTTTTTTCGCTTTATCTGAATATACTGAAATGGAAAAATTATGATAAAAGAAAAAAAAAAAGATAAAAAGCAGCTATTTGAAGTCCAATCATCAACTGTTATAAACCAATTCTTCTCAATTCTTCAGAACAGTGTCATTCAAACTTTTGTTTATTTTGTGCTTACTTATTTATATTTTATTTTTCTTCTATTTTTATTAATGGCTTGTCTTTGTGGAACACCCGAATATTAAAAAAATTTAAATTTTGCATAATAAAGGGGGGGGGGGAAAGGTAAGCAAACAAATTATTATACAAAAATTCCTTTAGTGCGGTGACAACTCTTGCGGCTTATTCGGCAAAACATCGTGGCACACAGTTTAAAAAATTTCGGAACCAAATACGGTACTGCACTTTAGGGAAACTTCTTCCGTACAATATTATACCGTAATTTTTAAAGTAATATTTATTTTATTAGAGTGATTCAGTAACTTTATGATAATTATTACTATAAAAATTACGGCATATCAGATTTTTTGTTCCGTAGCGCGTTGTTCCTTTAAAAATGAGTTTTACAATAAAAATATGAGTACCCTGGCTACTGGTACTTTTTACTACAAGTTGATGTAGAATTTTGCATTCAAGATTTCTTTTTTCATTTTTTATTTTATTTTTAAGTATAGAAACTTTAGTAGTTCAATTACCGATTAAGATTTCCTAAGAGTGAATTGAGCGGTAAATTTGATAATGAACCTAAGTGATTTTGTTTATTGCACCATAATTGCAGGAATAGGCTCTTTCCCCCAAAAAATTTAAAGATAATTCAAGAATGCGCATTGATGGTTTCCATTTTTAATACCAAATTTAATTGGCAATAAGCATTAAAAGCTTTTTTTTTCTTTTAAAATATTTATTTATATTCGTTTAATCTTTAGAAAAAAAAGTAATTCTAAGCGAGTCACCTTTTTTCCGCTGGAAATATTTTTTTCCCATAACGATAAACACTTCGAACCTTTTTGTTGCAGGCATTACTTTCAACGATACAGCGGTATTTTTAAAAGTTGATTTAAGAAAAAACTGAAGAAAAAAAAAACTAATTTACAGCAATTACTCATTTAAAATATAATAGAAAAAATCCAATCCTGCTAGATAATTTGAGAAATCTAGTAAACATACTTAATTTTTAATCGATTCAGTGCTTATGTTGCGTTCGTAAATACATTATTAAGCGTCTAAAATTCTTTAATTTTTAAGCAACTTTGGGGAAGAAATGTTTTTTCTTCTTCTTTTTAGTAGCAAAAAAAGGAAAGTGTTTTTATGCATTATGTTAATGCCGAAAATGCATTTAACTTAATAACCATATAAACATTAAATGAATAGAGGGAAATCAAATAGGGAAAAAATTTCCCTTCTTAATGTTTTTATTGAAAAAGAAATTAAATGTTGGTCATTAATAATATAAAAACACTTTTCGCACTGATAAGCTCCAAACAAATTTTGAAAAAATTATTTACAGGTAGAGTATTTCCTTCCTACAACAGTTAGAAAAAAATTAAAATAGTATTAATTCGAAAAGTACTTTATGTTTTTTAATACAATTATAAAAACTAAACGGTTTTTCTATTTAGTTAGAAATAATTTAATTAATTATACATTTAGAGTTACAATTAACGATGTTTGTATACGTTCCAAAATTTCTAACATTGTGTAACATCATTTTAAATAGAGATTTAAAGAGGAAAATTTTTTAATAAATCAAAATAGGTTCAAAATTCAACCCTAATGGACTAGAATTCCGCTTTAAAATCTGTGACATTTTATGTTTCTGAAAGTTATGGATTTTATTGCATTTCACCAAAGACATTTAACCTTAAATTGCAAAATGTGATTTACTCAAGAAAAGGAATAAAAGTTAGAAATCTAATCTGCATTTTTTCCTTTTTTAAATTAATAATTAATAGTTAAAATAATAATTTTGTTATTTTCCTTTCCAGTTTTAAAATTAATAATAAATTGTAGGTAGTGCATATTTTTTTAAGGATTAAAATAAAAAACGCTTTATTCGCCTATTTTAAACATTAAATAATTATAAAATTTCCCGTAATTGCATCTAATAATTATTTATAATTAATGACTAACATTTAAATGATAAGTGAAATTAGGTATTCACGTGCTTGTGTGCATTTTTTACTAGAAATTATCAGATTAATTGTTATTTATGTATTTTAGATAATTTTTTAGGGAATTGAAATAAGAAATGACACAATGAAATTATGTTTCTTGAGAATGAATGAATGAATGAATATATATTTATTGATATCTTTATTCTCATAAAGAAAGAAGCAGTATGAAACTTTATACAGCAAAGAAAGAAATTATTTTGGTAGGTACAAGATGATTAAAATTTACCAAAATAGTTTTAAAAAAAGATATTAAATATTGTTTTACAAATTTGCTCTAAAATTGTAAAAGTAGTATAGAAAATGCCTTTTTGCTTTTTCACAAAAAGTAACAACAATCTTGGCTAAAGTTGATGCATTTTTTCTATGCATAAAATATGTTGACTTTAGATAATAATATTTTGAAAAAAAATTTATTGCTAATTAATATTTTTTATAATTTTTTTAATAGAGGATTTCAAAATTTTTTACCATTTTAATAATGTAATAAATACTACCACAATGCATTATTTTTTCATGCAATTTTTTCGAGTATCATGGTTTAATTCTACTGTATTTATTGGATGTAATAACAGTAACACATAACGTATATTTAATTCTAAAAGAAATGTATCGCTCTTAACATTTAAATGACATTTATAAACTGCAAATATGCTTATGAAATTCATAACGAATGTATGTTTACATTTACATGAGTAAAAATGAGTTCTAATTCATT